GGCGCCCCCCGCCGCCACCCACTTGCGACAGTTGCGACAGGCGGTGTAGGCGATGCAGGCGATGCAGGCGATCCTCGCCCAAGCGTAGGCATCATCGGCAATCCTATGCCGATAATAGGTGCATCTCGCGGAAACGTAAGGACACGCATTCTACCGCCGCCGCGCCGCACCGCGTCAAATATTCTACCCGCTGCAATACCAAATACACCCGTGTCAATTGTAATTTTCCGATTACGACCTTGCGTTGGCACAACGCGAAAAAATCTCCATTTCTGATTTTTCCTAATGTAGACTACAACTTTAATCTCGGTTTCATTTACTCGCTTTATCCTTTTTTAATTCTTAAAACTAAAAAGAGATAAAAAATCAGTGTTGAACCGAGATTAGTTAATCTACATAATTGACAGAAATGAACATATTTTATTATATTTTAATATATACGCACATCTTCTCAATAATTGTAATAAAAACCTCTATGAATGAAGTGCATATTCGAATCATTTATTACATAAATGCTGTAGATATAACGTACAATAAGTACTCGTAAAAAATTAAAAAATATGCTAGTAAAAAAATTAAATACAGAAAACACGATTAAATCAAATAGATCTAATATATTTTTTCGTCTAATTATTTAGTCGCAATTAACTCGAAATAAATGTACGTATCTGGCTTAACTTGGAGGGAGTTGGAAAAAGAAAAGGCAATTTTGTTATAGCAAGTGGGATTGAAAATTAAGAGCATACCGAATTCCATTCGCGCGATCATATGATCAACTTTTTTGCTTCTCCTTGCGAAAGTTGGGACGGAGGGATAAAGTTAAACGATAGCTGTATAAACCTGTTCTCGTTACTTTCTCGTATAAATTCAGAATTTCGATTCACATGTGCTGGAATATCGAGTGTTGGGGGAATCAATATTCGGATAATTGACGTTCCATTATCAAGTGCAGAGAACGCGGGAAGGTGCAGCTAAAATGGTCCAGTATGAGTGTACTGCCAGTACGGACTTGCAATTCTTGCAAAAGTACAGTCGGAGAGTACAGGTAGTCACGTCACGGGACACGGCCGTCACAACGTCACGACTCACAGGGAGTTGCAGGGAGTACGAGCAAGTACGACCTGTGGACCACTGTAGACGTGACCGTAATCGTAAATGATTATTAAATACGACGAGCTGCTTCGAGATCCTGCGATTGCCTGTGATTACGTGCAACGTGCAACGTGCACCGCGTGTGCGCGGGATTGTCGTTCGTTCGTTCCAAGTGTTAGAAGGAGGGAGTCCGAGGGAGAAAGAGGGACTAGGGTTACGAAACTGCGATGCACGAGCTGTATTTTTCCGCGACTTTTATGACGCGAGTCGATGAATCGTCCAAGTCCTACTACGGACGTGAACCGCGAACGCCTCGGCAAGTCTGTGTCGTATTGTCATTGTTGTCAATAGTGCCAATGTTGTTGAAAGCTGCGACATAAGCTACCTTCGTAAGTCGTTCCGTAAACGCGCCCCTCTCGAATTTTGCTTCAATTCTAATATTTTTGTAACATTAATTCACTTCTTCACAGCATTAATTCGATTACTTTACGTAGAAAGCGAAATTTTATTACGCACATACTCTGAGTATCTTTTGTTATGACACTCGATTATGTAAATATTATAAATACATATATTTTTCTTGCTATATAATGACCCAGTTTCCTTTATCAGTCGCAGGAGAAGGCATAGCAGTGATGGAAGAGCCACAAACTCCAGGATCCGATTGCAATTCTAACCCAGCGACAGATTCCATCCAGCAGGATCTGGTTGGGTCCGAGTTTGTTCAAGACAATGTTGAATATCAATGGTTTATCGATTATGGGTAAGCAATTTAACACTTGTGCCTATTTTGATAATATTACTTATTGTTTTCTGACTTGTATACCTAATTTGTAGATATAGAGATGGAGGACTACATATCCATCCCAGTGTTCTTTCATCGCTTTCCGCATCCTATACTCCCAAGGATCTGGGTTATTATGACGACCTTGCTCGGAATTTGGACGCTAATCTGGCGGAAATTGACATGGAAAGCTTTCGTACGGCGGACATTCATACCCTCCTTACGGCTCTACCTGTCATGTGCACGGAACCAGTTCAACATTCCGAAGTAAATACATAAATTAAATTAACCTCTATTATTGAAAATTCATTATCTAAGTAAACGAACTGTAAACTGGCAGATGCTAAATGTGAGAATACGTATCATGGAAATTGTAAAATGATCAGTTTCATGATGCCACAAATCTTTATGAATTTGTGGCAGTTTACATGAAGCTTTATATCAAGATAGGAATCCGGTTTTGCGCATTGTCGCATTGTTTTTTTTTAGTCAAAAATTTTTTATATAATATTCTAAGTCTGGTATATGTTCCATTACCACCACAGTTTAACTATCAAAGGGAACAGTATGCCAGTATATCTGGATCTGTCATGGAAAAGCTTGACATCGGTTCCTCCATCAGCCCTCATACCAGTAGCCAGGTATGACAATGGCTGCACGAACCCAATTGCTACAAACATTGTTACCCATACATTTGATATTCAACCAATTTTACTAACAATTTTACGTTTAATTTGCATTTTTTGCATGTATACAAACGTAAAAAATATTATAATATTAAATTTAATTAATATTAATGAAATGAAATTCTAATAATCCCTAATAGTAACAAAACTTTAATTAATACTTAAAAATACAATACATAATCCTGTATTTAATGTTAATTGACATCTTGACTAGTACTGTATAGGTGTATTATAATATTAAAAAAAAACAAGTTTTAACTTTATAATCCCATTAATTTATGTATCAATCATATATTGCTATTTACAGGGAGAAGATTCCGCATGTTCCACCGCCGACACAATATCTATATGCAAGTCGTCGTTGCTATTTTCTCCAGTAAAAGAAACCCCAATGTTACCACCGGGTGGTAGTTATAGCGTAGATTCTCTGGACTGTGAAGATATGTTACTCACCTGTCAAACGAATAATAAAAACAATTATACCATTGCTTTTGAGGGCAGCATGACTATGTATTCGGATGGCTCTCAAGATTTTGAAAATCATGGTAATGTATATGCTGCATAGCATATGACAGTTTAATACAAATTAGTTTTAAATGTTTGTTTATTGAAAATAATTTACCTTTTAAAATTTTTCTACTACACTCCTTTTTCTTCGTTTCTTTAAAATTGATCAATTCGTTATTATTTTCAGATAAACACAAAACGTATGAATCACCAGATGTATTTTATGATAAACCAAAAGATATGAAAACTATGCTGGATTTATCAATGGCATGTTCAGATTCAAAGATATATACGACATGGAGTAATTTGAAACATTCCTCTATGAATAAAGTAATAACTCGTCATCCTTCCGGTAACAATAACACGATACCAGATATCTCACAAAGTGCTGCTAATCTAACGCTCGGTAGGATGAATAAACGGAGCCAAAGCTTACCGGATTTGTCTCGCGTTCGTGAATTCCAGCATATTAATATACCTCTTAATTTTAGTGTAAGTGTAGATATAAGTAAATTTACTTACGTGACTTGTAATAATCGTATTTAGTGATGTTATAATGCAAATTTTATTTTTACAGGTTGATTCCGCTGAATCAAGCAATCATATGCAGCGATTGCATAGTTCTGGATCTGCAATGAGTCGTTCGACAAATGCGGAAAGTTCGGACAATGGGGAAAATGTTGGTACAAAAAAGTTGCAAAATTTGAGTCTCGTCAGACTGTTTATGAAGCAAAAGAGCATGAGCGTGGAGGGAATGAGTCTTACTTTGGATCAATCGGATTCCGTTAGTGACAACAGTGGCTGGCCTACTAGTAATAGTGGCAGCGATAGCGCGACCAACACAAACACTCAGATTCAACGGCAAAATGGTCAAGATAATATCTGTGACCGTCGTGTGCCCGAAAACGATTTCTCTATAAACTGGATTAGGCGCGATGTGACTAATAATCGTGATGTGGAAAATCAGAGAGATAGCTTGAACGTTTTAAAGTGTGCGATACGAAACAAAGACGATAAAGTCGAAATGGCATCATCTGCATCGGTGGAAGAACTTTCGGAGAGTACATCCAAGTCTGGCGGTATGAGTGATCAACGAAGCTTCGATGTCAACAGTCCCTTTGAACAGAAAAACGGTTGGGCTGGTTTAATGGAAAAGAAATATCCGATCTGTCGAACAACAGGTATACAAGCCAATGCGGAAATGGAAGACAATGCAGTTCAAACTTCCTTAATTTTTGCTGCGCTGAGGGAGAAACATGGTTTCCCTCTCTTACAAGAAACAACAGTTAACAAAAAGCCTGTATATGTTGTATATCCGAATTATACATTGCCCGACTTGTCGTTTCTTAAAATTAAAGATACGAAAATTGATAACATTGCGTTGAAACCACATACATTTGACAGAAACAAGATGGAATGGAAACGTACCGTTCGTTCAGGTAGACCATTTTCGTGTAATGATATCGATGCTCTACGACAACGCGGATTCGCGCATATAAAGGATTGGGAGTCGCTTACGTTCCTTTTACCATATGAATACAAAAAGATTTTACATGATGTACCAGAAGTATCGAGATACATTAATATCAATGAGGAAGTTAAACGACCCCTATTCTGTTTGTCTCCTCCAATGCGTCATAAGACACGACCGATCAGCGAAATTATACCGAATACTACTTCATCAACGAGCAGTACCGCGACGCAACCATCTTCCGGGTACAGAGGCTCGTCGACGATTTTAACTGATTCCTCGACAAATCAGCAGCCATTATCGAATAATACGATCAATCCGTTGTATTTATATCGATATGACAGTATGAGTTCGGAGGCCAGTTTGAATAACGACAAGAAAATGCATAGGCTCAATCAAACGAGGCAGACTTGTCCGTCTCTTCCAAAGCGATCCGTATCGTTACCGCAAGGCGAGGGTGAATCTGATAATGGCAGAGTACCGCCGCGACCACCATTGCCGAGAAGTATTTTACGAAAGAATAAGGTACTTGCGAGTAAACGATACAGCATGTTCGAAATGGGAGATGTGGGCGAACAATCGGAAGAATCTGTGGACATAAACAAGAGAATGTCTTTGCAAGAGCCATACTACATGAATAATGATTTGCAGTTGTTATGTCGCGAAAGAACGATCGATTCAGAAAAGGATGTTGACGAGACAGAAGCGGAGAGATATCTTAAAGGTAAGGATGAATTATTTGACATTTGTTTTCAGATTATTTTTAATTGTCAACCTATATTCACTCAACACACTTAACAATATAATTATCACAGAAAAATTAAACGACATTACAAATAACGCGAACGTGGAGTCGGAAACTTCTCAGAATAGCGACGATGACCTCAAGCAGTTGGAAGAATATTTGAAACGTAGTGCAATCTCGTCGCAAAGCAGCGACGGAGATATTGACAATGCTGAAGTAAAAGTAAGATCGTATGTAAGAAAATTTTTAGCTTTGAGAATGAACAAGGATCCACTCGTTAGAAATATTGATATGGGAGAATCGCAAAGAAAAACCGTCAGTTTTGCTACGCACCAAAGAAAAAAGCATCTGGACGCTAAGGTAAATCATTAATACTAATTTTAGCATTAACAAATTTTTGGATCTTTGTGTATACTTATTCTGATATATACATATAAGAATATTTATTCATTTCAGCTAAATAATCTGAATGTCGTTGTAAATGAACAAAATCACGATCAGGCAACTGAGGATAAATTAATAGAATTAGAAGAAAAGAAAAGTATGTGCGTTTTATTTGTTATCTAATCTAATAAATAAATTCTATTAAATGAAAGTATATCTCGAAATCTTTAATATGACACTCTTTTCAGAAATGGTATCGTCTGTAAATAAAGCGGTGGATCTTTTATTGAAGTATTGGAACGCTGATTCCAATCATAGTCGTCCTAATTATAACGAAAGGAACGAGTGTGCGCAAATTTGTCTGAGTAATTTATGCCCAGCTTTATATGCTATTATGTCGGATGGCTTGAAACCCCATTTGAATTCCACCTTTGGACCAATTACTAATAGCGTTTGGCAGGTTGTCGAAGCTAGTTCTCAACAAGGACCCCTCACAAAAACGTTGAATGAATTAGTACAGAGAATTAATGGCGAAGATGTTATTACAGAAGGAATGTTAAAGTTCCATGCATTTGTATTTGGCTTGTTGAAGTAAGTTAGAATCGCTAGTCTTTTTCTCGTTCTGTAGTCTGTACATCGTTACATTACGATATTAGTATTTCATATTTATTTATATGTATATATAGTTTTTATCCATTTAACAAATTAATTATATAATTGACCTACTTTATTCTCTTTTTCCAGTCTAAGAGCTTTAGATGCATGGTTTGCGTATTTATGTACACGTGAATCAATCTTACGGAAACATTACAGTAACAATAGCTTATTTGTCGCGGCTTTGGCCAATGCGAATGTCCGAGAAATCGTTGATTCGTTGTTGTACATCCTGAATCCACTTGCATTTTGTCCATTTCACTTGGATCTTCTCTATCAGTATCGTCAATTGCAAAATAGTTTTGGGAATGTGAATAATCATACGATGAATGTAAGTAAACCTATCATTCGATTTCTTGTATATATTATGTGCGTTCATTTCGCGCGATTTTGTAGGCCATGAGCTTTAGGAACGCCGATCTGACTATGAAAGATCTCGAGATTGGGGAAACGGAATCCTGTAGAATGGTTTCTAGTCCGAAAAAGACACGACCAAGATCTTGCATTGCTTATAACATGGACGATAAATGCAGCACTATGCACAAAGGCGATCTTCAAAATGCGAAAAAACGTTTCAGTGCTATAAATCCGAAGGCGTTTTACGCGTTGGACAAATTGACTTCTGAGGATTCTGAAGATTACACAGATAGTCTGGAACATTCTCCTTTAAATAAAAAAGCAAGCAAGCAATCACAATCTAAACTTTTTAATCCTGATACTAAATCGAATGATGACAATGGTCTTTCTGTCGAAACCAAATTCAAAAAATTGCAGGAAAAATGGGAATTGATTGGTAAAGAAGGCAATAAGGGTCAACCTGTCGCAATGACTCCCTCTTCGCCGGTTCGGACATTCGGAGTGTTAGGGAAATCAAAGATACCTAGATTGCTCACATCACCGGTGAAGCAATCTAATGTTGCGGCGAATATCATTGGGAAATCGTCAAAATTACCCATGTCGGGAGTCTCTTCATTAAAGAAGCCCGCTAATCTTCCTACGACGAAGACAGCCCTAAAGAAACCTATAGATACGAAAACGAGAGACGTGACGCGTCGTACGAGCCGTGTTGATCAAGATACTCTAGGCGTGACACGAACTCACACTGCACGCCCGAGTTCCTTACCATATAAATCCCATGGAGTAATGTCGAATGACAAGAATCTAATCTCGCCTCACAGACGAGCCGTTTCGACCTCTCTACCACGACCGACTGTTACTACTGTTTCAAGGACACCGGTTTCAAAACATCCACACAAGTAAATATCAATGTTTCATATGAGCATGTGCTATTTTTTAGAATCTATTATCTTTTCCCTCTAATTTTATATTGGTTGCAAATATTATTCGTTTATACGAGCTATATTACAAATGAAATAATATAACTTGTTTATACATTTATTTACATTATGCTTTTCTATTTTGGTTTTGCTTTGTATTTTAGCCCTTTTCTGTTTTCTCTCTTTCTTTAGATTCGTACGATAACGATTCGCGCGTCTCGATTGCAGAGAGGTCCGTACTCTCACTCATAGGATACCGTCGGACACTGGTCATCTTTCATTCGCAGAGGGGGAGAAACTGAAAGTAATATTAGAGGTGGATAATAAGTGGTTATTGTGCGCGAAAGGTGATCGAAGAGGTTTGGTACCACGAGCATGTGTACGCAGCGTTCAAACTTAGCCCCTCTTCTCGACAATTCTTCATGATCGCAATTGTAACCATGATCCTACCCAGCGGTCATAATTGTAATTTCACCCTCAAAAATGGAACGAAGATGAGCGAATTGCGAGGACGAGCTGAAAAGTTCAAATTACCTAAATATCCCGAGGCGATATAAGTGATGTACAGTGTATTAAAATTGTTTTTAAGCCATATGATATAATACGCATTATCACGCGCTTGTAAAGTTACTTTTAACAGAAGTTTAATCGAAAACATTTCGTTTCTATGGAAATGCGACAGTAGTATTATCGCTAGCGGCGCCATCGAAGATAGAGATATCACCTAGTCATAGGCTTTTTTTAGACGACATTATATTTATTTAGATTCATTTATTTTAGAACGATGTACAAATGCGAGGATAACGATTCGATATATCCTCGATGAGTAAAAAGCCGAAAACAGTGTGTATAATCTATACACATATTATGAATGTGTGTGTGTAACTGTGATCCTAGTAAATAGGCGATTAAGTTTATTAGTGCGAACGCGTGATGTATATATTTTGTTCTAATGTTTATATACTGTGACTTTATAATTTATTTATATCTATACTTTTTACATCGCGCATCACACAACGATCCTTCATTCTGATTTTATTTAAGCCATTTACGACATGCACTTTCGCGATGGCGACGATTACATTTTTTACATGCTTCATGGTATTTCCCGATACATACATACATATATGTATACATATACATATACATATATGTATGTGTTGCGATATATGATATAATCAAATAAATCTGTTGTGAATTATATTTAGAAATGTATGTAGTCTATCAATTACATCTAATGCAACTCAATGCAACGTGGAATGTCTTTTTAATACCATTTTGGCTCAGGATTTAATGAAGTAATCTGCTTTTAATATAATCTTATATCATAATATAATCTTATATCATAGAAACCGCACTAAGAGTAGATAAAGCTTTTTTTTTTAATTCACATTCATCTAAAGGAAAATTTTTACGTGATGTTGCAGACAATTCGTCAAAACATGACTATTTTATCTCTAATAATTTTTAATAATTGTCAATCTTTTGCAAATCATATAGATATAAGCAGTGTTGGAACGTATCTAGGTAAAAGTATCTAGATACAGTATCTAAATACTTTAGCTGTACCTAAGTGCATTATCTAGATCCTTGTAGGCGGAGATACCTGTATCCGTATCTAGTTATTTTTTGATTCGGTATCTTTTAAGTTTTAGATACATAGATACAAGGTATTTATACTCAAATGCTATCGCCGCCATTAATGACTCCTGCAGACAGAACGCGGCAACGCTTTCCGCCCGGCGGAAGTTGGCGCGATAACCAATCAAAACGTCTCACTAATCAATTGTCGATAATGTCAGCGTTCTTCAATTACCTCCGGGCCCTATCTGTGATAATTTGCCCAGACGTAAATTTGCCCAGGGCAATTTGCGAGAAACTCCAGAAACCTAAATAAAAAGCACTGAAATTGAGTTTCTAATTGAATGTGTCACCGTAATGAGACCGATCGCAAAGTCTTTAGATTTCCTGCAAAGTGAGGACATTTGCTATTTAGGCTACGTAATTCCTACCTTACTTCAAATTAAAAAAAACTTTAAATTCACTAAGTTATCTAATTTACTGCACACCGCTCAAAAATGTTATTCTTGATGGTATACATATCAGATATAAGAATATTTTGGACTTGAACAACAATAAATCCAAACCCTACATTTTGGCAACTATTTCACATCCAAAATTTAAATTGAGATGGCTGAATAATAGCGATGATAAATACAACTTAGTAAAAACTTTAGTTTTATGCGAATGTGAAAAGTTGTACCGACGGGAAGTAAGCACAAATGAGGAGAAGAACTCTTCAACGAGTAGTAACGATGAAGATTTCTTTCATGATTTCATCAAGAATTCCAATACAAATAATTCAATAGAAAAGCAAAACGTACAAATGGAATGTTTACGCTACTTTGAAGATAAAAGCAAGACTGTTGATTCATTAATAAATTATAATTTAATTCAAAAAATATTTAGACAGTATAATACTATTCTGCTGTCTTCGGTACCTGTTGAAGGGCTGTTCAGTGCAGGTGGCCAAATTTTAACTCCAAGAAGAAATCGATTGTCCCATACAATATTTGAAACTTTATTAATGTTAAAAAAACGTGAAAAATAGCGATGTACAACATTACAAAGTTATGTTTTGTAGTCTCTATGTTTTTTGAAGATGTTAGAGAGATCTCTACGTTTTTTTAATATGTTCGAGACATTTTTTTATATATTAAGATAAACAAATAAAGATAAAACGTGATATTTAATTTACGTTGCTTATCACTCTCTCCTGTTTTCCCCCAATTTTTCTTTGTTTTTTTTTTTGTTGAAAGTACCTAAGAAGTATCTAAATTTTCAGATATTTTTTATTTATATCTGTATCTATATGTTTTTTTTATAATTACCTAGGTAATTATAAAAAAAACGTATCTATACTTATATCTAAATACTTTTCCCACACAATACCTATATCTATATCTAGATACGGTGTCTGTTCCAACACTGGATATAAGATATGACGATAATAACTTTCATTAATGAAAGCATGCGTCTTTTTTTAACAAAGAAAGTTTCTTGTTGCAAATGGATTAATATTACATAAGAAATTTTCTGCGAAAAAAATTAATGAAGTTTAAACATTTACAAAGAACGCGAACACAAGTACAGAAACACTTGTTCACACCTTTTGTGACATCTGCTTGAAGTTTCAAGGAGGCCGTTGTAACAGCAAAAATAACTTTAGGGTAAAAAAACTCCGGTATATACGCCACATCTATCAAAAACTTAATTTATTAAGTATTATTTACTATGTTTAAAATAAACGAACTATATCAGTAAAAACTTTGTACTGTCTACTACTATGAAAAAAATATTGGAAATCCGAAATATTTAGTTTTCGTATTAAAAAATAAACTTTTTGAATCTTGCATTTTTGCTATATATAGATAATGGGTGGGATATATGGCAAAAATGCAAGAGTTTCAACAAACTATACAAAGAATACGAAAGAAAGTACTTGTATTTTGCTCTATACAACATGCTTTACTATTCCTCTACACGTATGTATCACGAAATAACCACTAGGTCTTTTACACGCCTTACAGTAATCATTTTATGTAGATTATAATTTATGATGATGCTACTTGTTGCACACACAGTGACAAATCGATTCAACTCACAATAATTTCATTAATATTAAGAAACTGAAATTATAACTCAATACTACTAATATAACATAAAGGCATGTAACAGAGTAGTTGCGAGAAAATTACCCTCACTCCTTCTATTTTTTCTGACTTCCGCGGTGTAAATTCCAGCGCGGCGTATATACCGGAGTTACCCTAATGTAAAAATTATGAATTATCATTTTGCGAAATTTTTGCAACTTGCTTAGAATGAATGTAAGTTAAACAGAATGAAGTGGCTTTTTCCGATATAAAATCACAATAGAAGAATAAGGGCTGATAAGAGAAAGAATGCTGTTGTTACGTAATTATTTAGACAGATTTTGTAATCGCGTTATCTCTACGATCGTTATCGAAATAATCATTTATATTTCGAGATGTTGTGCATATATAAAACGGCGCAATTAATATCGCTTGTCAGTCAGCCGATTTTTGCTGTAAACGACATCTTGGAGATATTGTTAAGTAATCATGAAGACCATCATCGCATTGTCCTTTTTGGCTGTACTTTATACCGTAAGTTTCTTGTTGAGAAATAATTTTCAATAGAAGAAGAGAAATGTTTGAACGGAGTAAATGCATCATAGTTTTGAATTTTATTTGTGCATTGAGTTAATTCGAAACATATAGTAAGATTTAGTAAAATAGATCATTATTAAACAAGAGAAATGGCCAATGTGGCACGAATATGTAGTCGCAATCGAAATGCGATGCACTTATTTAATATTTTTTACCCCTTACCCTCACAACTTTAGGTCGAGGCTGTTCCAGCAGAGCCGGCCGATTTGGAAATTCTGAGGCTTCGAATGAGGGACCTAAAATGGAACATAGAGACTACTGTACGTGAACTTGAGATACTTCGTACCCGGACCGAGGAAGATACTCTTCAAAAAATTACCGTAAGGTGGAGTGAAGAACAAGACAGTCATAGAGAATATAAAACTTTATTACTTTCTGGGATACGCGTAAGTATAAATAATTAATGTATAAATAATTAAAAATGATCTGTGAGCACACAAGACGCTATATAATTTTTTCCATTTATTCACAAAAATCTGTATAAATTGTCACTAAATCTTCAAAATATAATTCGTACATCATCTAAGCACTTAATATATATATATTAAATTATATTTATTAATTAAGGTTACAAAATTGTTTCATTAGTACATTAATCTGTGTAAATCTTAAACGATTATATAAAAGATTAAAGATACACGTAAAATTCCGTTCCGTGCATGATAATCATTTGACGACTTCAATATTTGATAAAATATTATAAATCCCTAATATATCGTAATTCGCATTAGTGTGTTATACCAAGAATTAATTTATTTTTAGAATGAAGTAAATATCGCTAAGGCGGCGGGCAAAGATGTGACCTCGTGCCAAACCGAGGCCACCCGAGGTATCGAAAATAATGAGCAGATAGCATATAAGGAAGCTAATGAATGCGTAGGCGCCTCTGAAATTTCCATCCATAACAACCTTGGTTTTATCGATAATCTCATTTCAGTAAGTTTTGTCGCGATAATTACATATTATAGATCGCGATGAATTTATCTTAATTAGAATTAATGAAACTCTAATAAAATTTCGAATCGTGAATTTTTCCCCAGACCGCAGACGCGTTGTCGTTGCAGTCGGATAGCATCTTCTTGAATTGTCACGACAGCGACAGTTACAGAATGCGCGGCTGCATTGTCAGTGAACTGACGAAAGCGGAAAGCTCCCTGAAGACCTTGGAGAGCGACAGCGTTACTGCAGAGATGACCGTTGCACCCGTGTCCAAGAATGTCGTTACGCAGGCCAGCAACTGTATCAAACAGGCTTATTCCCTTACGTATACAGAGGGGGCGGCGATTAGAATGAGAGTTACTCAATGTATTGAAACAATCACCACGCCAACTACGACGATAGCTGCGACAACTGCGACGACACAGAAGCCTGCCTCAGAAGAATAATTTTAAATCTACTAAGTTTGGTGTTTATTTCTTTTGTTGAAAGTAATTCTAAAAAGAATCAAGATTACTATTTCGAGAGAAAAGAACATCACGATATTAGAGTGTATAACTCCACTATGTAGTATGAATAAAATAAAAATATCTCCACAAAAGAGAGAATTACTTATTCACGCAATTCCTTATATGCTTGTAATCGACCTTTTCACCGGGCGTACGTTTCGCGTAAGATTCCAAAATTAAATGCGATAAGCTACATCTTATCTTTATACAAATGAATTTTAACACTGACTATTTAATCTATTATTCGATTTACGTCGAAGTAATAAGTACCATTAATTCTCTCACGTTGACTCGGCAATCCTTTATTAAGATGTTATCTTCAGGATTAAAGAAGGAACATTATGTAATATTTAAGTAACTTCTATAATTAGACTTCCAAAAGTTCAAACAAGGCTACTATATTTAATGAGCAAAGATATCTTCATATTTTTTTATTTGATATCTTCAAGAAATCTTCAAGATCAGACATTCTTTGACATTGATAATTAAGGAGAATGGCTTATCTTGTTAATTCTCCCCTCTTTCCCTATCACTTCTCAAAGTTTGTCCAAATGTTTCCTTTTCGTACCTTATATATATAAAAAGACGCAATTAATGGAATACTTACCAGTAATTCGAATTCGCATATCAACAGAGTCACTCCTAAGTGATACCAATAAGCAAGCATGAGAATCGCTATAGCATTGTGTTTTTCGGTTATATTTTGTATCGTAAGTACGGTAAGTTCTTATCTTTTCTTTACGAGAAAAGATTGTGAAAAGGATGGTCAAAATGAAAGTTTGTATATAATAGATAAGCGTTTAATTATTACGTAATACTATTTTTAATGAAATAAATATTTGCTAAAATTTTGAATAGTTTTCTTTAATTGGTTAAAGTTACGTTTTTATTATCTTATACTCTCATTGACTAAACTTAAGTTAATCTAAATCGGCGAGATTGCAAGAATGTATGATTGCTCAAAGTAAGACTTTCTTTAAATGTCGTGAATATATGTATAGCATTCATTTTTCGTACGTAGGTTTATGCTGCCATTCCAATGAACTTTGACTATTTGGAAGATGAACAGTTTATAAAAGTAAAAAATGCGAGATTGAATGTGGAGCGTATCGTACGACAAATTGAACGTGTCGAGGCTGACACTAAAGAGGATGCTGTATTGACAGTTACGAAAAGATGGAATCAGCAAACGAATAATTACAGAGATTACGTTAATCTATTACTCAATTCGATGCGCGTGAGTAATAATTCGAATCTATTTGCAATCGAAATGCTCACTTGCACGCTTATTTTGTTCAGTTTGTCCGTAATCGTTATTAACTACAGTTGTTACAGATATACCGAATAAATATGTTTAGTTTTAATAATATATGTGAAAATATTATATTGCAAAATACTGTTATTGTGTCACTAAAAATGACCCAGTAAGTAATCAACAGTAATATAACATTAATATTATAATTTTACACTGAACAATATTTAAATATAATATAACATATATATTATAACAATAATTGTACGTAACAGTAATTGTTGAATTATTATTGTGAAATTATTACAATATTATATATATTGATGTTATGTTACTGTTAGTAATGCTTACTTGGAATATAGTATTAGAGCCAATCGTTTTCTTAAAACAGAATAACGATATTGCGCGATATCTTCGTTTTCATATTTGAAAATTGAGCCAAATTTGTTACAAAATTTGCAAATCTATCGAATGATTATTACAAGTCATTAATTTTGCATTTTAGAGGGAAGTGAATAACGCTAAAGTTAGAGGTGTAGATACACAATACTGTTACGATACTAATTTCTGGGCCATAAACGAGCATGGCGACATAGCGTATCAATCTGCTACGAAATGTCACGAATCTGCTGAAAAGTCTATTGAAAACAGCCTTGGATTCCTCGATAGTCTCAAGTCGGTAGGTTCTCATTGTTATTATTTTATATTATCAAATCATCATCATCTCTTCTTTTCTTTACGATCTGAATGTAATTACTATGGATTGAATTTAATCGTGTCAATTTTTTCGACAGCTTGGATACGAGCTGATAAAAGATTTGAATGATATCTTCCTGAACTGCTATGATGACGATAATACTAAAATGCATAGTTGCTTCCTTAGCGAGTTCGGAAAAATCGATAATTCCGTGAAGGAGTTTGAACAGGACGCCAAATACGTCGAGTATAACGCATTGCCAGCGTCCAACTACGCTGTTCTGCAGGCCACTCAATGTTTGAACAACGCTTACTTGTTAGCGCGCTTCGAAAGTCAGGGCGCAATGATGTCTAATTCTAGATGCATTCGAAATGCCATAAATAAAAACTGAACAGAGTTTAATCGGTTAAAACAGTCCAATGCATTTGTAAATTACAATTTACATTCAAAATTATACCGAAGGGAAAACAATGTATCTTGAGAAATCAGTACAATCAATTTGACAAAGATATGCTCCGTGTACGATTATACGTGTATCGAAGCAATGCTTTGATTATATATTAATGGTGTGTGCTTTATATGATATATTTTTAAAGATATTTTTTATGTACGTATAATATATATACTTAAGAGAAATAAAAATAATTAAAAAATTATTAACGAATGTTATTTATCGATACTTTTCCCTATTCGCAATTGACATTTCGATAAATTCTCGAAATTGTTTACAATAACTCGTGTCTTATCGTTATATGGATTATATACTCCGTTTTATCTCTCGGATAAAATCTAGTAACTTGTCGAAATAAAAGTAGTATTATAATATTCCATTAAGATAATGATACTCCATTAAGATCCCATGTTTTATTAAGACGTCAAATATATAAAAGAATAAAATTAACATCGATTGTCAGTTAGTTTATTTCTGGTGTACAATTGTACAATTCTCGAGTGAAATTAACAAGCAAGAATGAGAAGTGCCATAGCATTATGCTTTTTGGCTGTACTTTGCTGTACCGTGAGTCTATTTTTTCTTTTGAAAAAATAATTTGTAATAAATATTTATTATTATCTTGTTTTCGCAGAACATTAATTTAAAGTTTAAGATTATAGACATTAACATTAAGATTATGTTGTAAAAAGAAGGTTGTTAAAATCAGTGTCAGCCAAAGAGAAAAATTAATTTTATTATAAATTTTGATATAAATTTTCTTTATGATATTATCTCTTTCATCGATATAATAAGTCGTTTAAATTAAATTTATATGTATTAATTGAATAATACAAAGAATATGTTTGTTTAAAACAAAGTTCGTTAATATTATTGTTATTTTTTACCTTAGACTGATGCAACTATTTTGGATATTTTATTCCGTCAAGTACAGAAGACGAAAATGCAAGTGGAAAGTACCATACAGCAACTCAAATATATCCGCGAAAACACTCAGAAAGACGTAGAAGAGACAGTCACGAAGAAATTCTTCCAATCATTGGAAAAGTACAATAACTGCGCCGATTCAGTACTCAATACGATACGAGTAAGTAGTTATTCGCATTGGTTTATAATCAAGCTGTATGAGTTTGACAGATTTTCAAAAATATATAAGGTATATGTAGATATCTATACTAAACAGGGTTGGTAAAAAACATGTTTTAAACATGTTCTAAATAGTTTAAAACATGTTTAAAACATGTTTAAAACATTAATTGATGTTTTTAAAATATTTTAACTATTTATTAAATATTAAAAAATATTAAATATTAAATATTAAATATTAAATTTAATAAATAGTTAAAAAATATTTAATAAATAGTTTTTAACTATTTATTAAATAGTTTAAAACATGTTTAAAACATTAATTGATGTTTTTAAAATATTTTAAATATGTTTTTTTTATAATACTGTTTAAAGCATATTTGAAACATTAAAAACATATTCAAGAAGAAAAACACAATATGTTTTATTCTTAAAAAAAAAAACATTAGTCTTTACCAACTCTGATACTAAATAAATTTTTTTATATATGTGTGTGCTGCAGTTGTATTGAAAACATTAGAAACTATTAATCAGTTTTTCATAAATCAAAAGCACACTTAAATTGAAAGCTATATGAATCTACTAAACAATTAAACAACATTTCGACTCTATCAATCACAATATATATATTTATCAGTATTCGCGCGACAAAATCTCTCGATAAAATGGCAAAACGCAACATTTAATAAAGTGATATAAATAAAAATGTAATGCATTTTAGTTTAATTATTGTTGCCTTCTTTATCGTTAGAAAGAGGTGGAAGATGCCAAGGCGAGAGGTAGGGATGCTGAACGATGCTATGATGTCGCTCTTAATTTTCTTAGGGATAGTTACAATACAGCATATATCAATGCTCAACAATGCCGAGAAAATGCCACACGTTCTATCAATAATAACCTTAGTTTCAACGATCAGCTTATTACGGTAGGTTCTCGCAATCGCACATATTACCTATACTTTCCATTGAGTGATTAATCATTAAATTTGTGTTAATTTTTTTTACAGACCGGACACGAGCTAATAAATGAATTGGATAACATCTTTTCGGACTGCTACAAAAAAAATCCGCGACTTATCGACATTATAAAACTGCGTAGTTGTATCAAAGATCAGCATGGAATAAGTGAGATTGGCGTGAAAAATTTAAAAACGGATGCCAGTTCCGCTAGATCTACCGCTAAAAGTGCGTCTAAAGTTGTTAATCAGCAGACTACTGATTGTTTGAATAATAAAGCTTTCTCGACAGCGCGCTTAGAAGACGTTAGATCAACTGCTACTAGATGCCTCAATAATGTGTAGAAGGAACATTTATCTTTAATTATATTGCAAACAATAAAATTTATTGCCATTTTGAACTTAATTACACAAGAAAAATCGTCAAGGCATTGTTGATTTGATTAAAACAGTTTCGTAGTTACGTTTCGATAACAGATTAGTTCAATAGATTTAGATAAGTTAATGTAAGAAAGTTCACGATATCATATATGTTTCGAGATTTCATAATTATCTTTGAAGAACAGTTCTCTCTTTTTTTTTGTAGAATATGACATGAATAAAAATAATTGCAAAACAAGAATTACTTGTTGGTATATATAATCATGTGTTTCTAAAAAAAAAACCTTTTGTAAAAATAACAGTAAAATAAGGCTCCAATAATAAATATAATACAAATTTAATCGCCAATGTGAGTCAACATTAGATGTAATTCATGAAATTATATATATCACAAAATATATTAACAACCGTTTCGACAATATAATTTTGTCCTCTTCAAGTATCGCAAATAAAACGGATTAATAGTATAAATTTGTCAAATTAAAATAATCGAACGGAATTCAAATTAAGTATCGTTATTAACAAGATTGTTCTCCACGTCTGTAGTATTTAGATTGATACTTTTGTAAAAAATTTATTTCGCAAAACATTACGTCATAAATTTTTTATAAAAAGATATGTGTAATTATAAGAATCTTATTTTAGATCGTATATGTGAGTACGAACATATAATCTGAAACATCTGTCTGACGTCTGAGTACGGCTTAAAGTTCATATCTGGGATGTCATAATGGTAAAATATAACACTGAATCTGTTTAATCTAGAAATCATAAATCATCGATATTTCGTGTCTCATGAACCTCATTTCCAATAAAAATAAATGATGATTGATTTGACAAAATCAAAAAGTTCTTTGATATAAAATTTCGATAGAAGGATACCTAGATCGATAAAATTAGACGTAATTATTGATATAAAAGTTTTTATAGCGCTGCTATCAATTATTTTGATAACATCGTACAAAAAAATTGTTTCTGTGTTTTTATAAATTGTTTCATAGTTAAAAAAAAATGTTTGCATTTATCTTTATATTTAAAAAATGTATAACATATTATCAATCTTTAATTAATTATAATTGATTATTAAAGAAAGCAATAAAAATCGATATATAATGTTAGGATTTCAGAAACGTACTTCATGTGAGCAATTATGTAAAAAAAAACCATGTTAGTAAAAATCACTTTTTATCCTCGCCTTTTGTCAGCACATTAGTTGATAAGAAATATTTGAAATTATAAAATATTTATGTCAAATATTTTCTTCGATGTATCACGATATAATCACATTAAATAACTATGGCACCGCTAGACAGAAAAGTTCTCAAAAAATCAATATATGAAATTGTTTCATTCGATATACGCGACGAAATACTATTAGGGGTATAAATAAGTTTCCGCCGTTTGGCAAAAGATGGTGCCAGCAGTATGTTATGGTTAAAATTGT